AAATGTATTTTTCATCATCATATACTGTGTTTTGTCGTTCAAATGAATTTTATTATTTCTTCAAGGTTCTTCACATACGTACACCTTAAGAGATATCAAGTAGGCCTAACATGTTCTCAAAAAATTAGGGTTGGCACGCAGAAGAATTTTGAGTCAGAGATTTTGCTGGTTTTGGCACACACTCACAAAAAGGTTGCCCACCCCTGTCCTAGGACAATGGAAACTGAGGAAAAAATAAACAAATGGGACTACATCAAAATAAAAAGCTTCTGCACAGCAGAAGAAACCATCAACAAAACAAGAAGAGAGTCCACTGCATTGGAGAACATATTTGCCAATGTTATCACCGATAAGGGTTTAATCTCCAACATTTATAGGGAACTCATACAACCTAAAAGGAAGATAAACAATCGAATAAAAAAATGGGCAAAGAACCTAAATAGACACTTCTTGAAAGTGGACATAAAGAAGGCCAAGAGACATATGAAAACATGCTAAAAGTCACTAATCATCCAAGAGAGGCAAAGCAAAACGACAATGAGGTACCATCTCACACCTGTCAGAATGGCTATCATCAACAAATCAACAAATGACAAGTGCTGGTGAGAATGCAGAAAAAAAAAGGAACCCTTGTGCACTGCTGGTGGTGGGAATGCAGACTAGTGCAGCCACTGTGGAGAACAGTATGGAGTTTCCTCAAAAAACTAAAAATGGAACTCCCATTTGACTCAGTGATCCCACTTCTAGGAATACATCCCAAGAAATCAGAAACACCAATCAGAGAGGATATAAGCATCTCTATGTTCATAGCAGCACAATTCACCATAGCTAAGATTTGGAAACAGCCTAAGTGCCCATCAGCAGATGAGTGTATAAAAAAACTGTGGTAAATCTACACAATTGAATACTATGCTGCTATACAAACAAGGAACTCTTACCATTTGCAGCAGCATGGATGGACCTGGAGAGCATTATGCTAAGCAAAATAGGCCAGTCGGAGAAAGATAAATATCACATGATCTCACTCCATTTGTAGAATATAATGAACAACATAAACTGATGAATAAAAATAGATCCAGAGACATAGAAGCATCGAACAGACTGTCCAACCTCAGAGGGAAGGCAGGGGATGGGGTAGAGTAAGAGATCAACCAAAGGAATTGTATGGATGTATATAAGCATGCCCAATGGACACAGACAGTAGGGGAGTGAGGGCATGTGCTGGGGGGCAGAAGTGGCCGGAGAGAGGTCAATGGGTGAAAAAAGGAGACATATATAATATTTTCAACAATAAAGAATTTAAATTAAAAAAGAATGCATTTAACAGCATACAACTAGCAATGGGTCCTACCTTAACACCTCGTCTAGTTCTGATATTAGTATAGATATAGTATAGCTAAAGCTATTGATATAGATAGATATACAATATAGATATATAAGTACAGATAAAGATACAGGTAAAGATATAGATACTAGCCCTGGCTGGTTTGGCTCAGTGGATAGAGCGTTGGCCTGCAGACTGAAGGGTCCCAGGTTCGATTCCGGTCAAGGGCATGTACCTTGGTTGCGGGCACATCCCCAGTGGGGAGTGTGCAGGAGGCAGCTGAATCGATGTTTAAAAAAAAAAAGATATAGATACTAGTATAGCATTGGTAGTAAAGATGCCCCTTACTCATGGTTAGTGTTTACATGGTATTATTTCCATCACTCTAAACTTTGCTATGTCTTTATATCTGTGAGGTGTCCATCACTAACAGTGTAAAGTTGGATTTGCTCTTTTTTATGTAAAGCAACAATTATGATATTTGTGCAGAATTTTATCTATTGATATCTAATATAATAATATATCTAAATTTATATTTTTCATATTATCGATTTTTATTTGATACACCTGCTTCACATTTTTTTCTTTTTATTTTATTTAAATTCTTTATTGTTTAAAGTATTACATAAGTCTCCTTTATTCCACATTGACCTCTCCTTTTCTTTCCCCACC